TTATGTGGGCCGGAGAGAGGGTTACTATAGACCATGAAGAAGCTGTCGATTTTGTAAGAAAGGTGCAGGAGCGCATCAACAAGAAGGCTTACAAAGACTTTTTGATGACTTTATATGCATACAGAAACAAGTGCAAGGACGTGGTGAATGTGTACAGGGATGTGGTTGAGCTGTTTGCAGACTATCCTGATTTGCTAGAGGGGTTTCACAGATTTTTGCCAACTTCTGAGGTGATAGCTGATCTGGAAAGCAAATTGCAGATTCTATAGATATATAAACGAACTTGAGTTATGATCAAATTGAGTCATTAATTAGTTTTATATATAATATTTTCCTGTAAACTGAAGTCTTACAATGGATTTGCTTGCGTAGTTTGCATGTTATGTAAAGTCAAAACCATGTTAGAGGTATAATATAGTGTTTTTTTTTTAATTATTTTGGGTGTCGGTTAATTTGTGTATACCTTAACTAATTCAATAGATTTTAAAATTAATAATTATGTAAGTCTTTAGTATTCATAAAATTTATAAAATTTAAAATAGTAATATTTAAAAAAGAAACTCAAGAACTAACTAGTTGAGATATATCCTAAAATTATACCATAATATTTTATATTTATTAATAGCATGAAATAAGAAGGAATTATAATAAGGTTATTTAGCTTATATTTAAATTAAGGGTAAGTTGATATTTGTTACAGGTTAATAATTAAAAAAATTACTTCTTTGTTTTCCTGGTAAGATAATATTTACAATGTTTTTGTTTTAAGTGTTTTTCATCTATATTCAATCTTTTTTATACATATTATTTTTATTTTGTTGTTTTCATTTTAGATATATAATTTTAAAAAATCACCTTATAAGGTAATCTTCAAAGTATATATTTATCTAATTTTTAATTACTATATATACTTTTGAATATTAAATTTAAAATTTATGTGGCATATGTTTAAACATGCAAGTGATTTAACAATAATTATTTTAAATATGTACGGAGTTAACATCAATTATCAACCTCCAATATCTTCCTTTCCATTTTCATGTATATTAAAGATATATAGTTTATTAAAAAAACATTGTAGTTAAACATTGTTCCTTCAGTTATGACAAATCATGTCTCTCAATTGTGATTGCCAGTTAAGTCAACAACCAAAACTTGGACTATTAATGAAAAAATTATGTAAAATTTTAATTTTTTGTTTTTATATATAATTTAAGCAATTGCAAACATGAATTCAAACTATAATTATCAAGTTATCAGTTGACACGAAGCAAGTTCAGAATCACTGACAAATTAATTAGGATTAATTCTATTGATTTTTTTATTTTATAAAAATTAAAAATATTATTATTATTTATTTTAAAAATAAATTAAATGTTTTTATGTGATTTTAGTGGGTCAATAATTAACATGAGTTTTTACTGAATTTTAACTCCGTTTGTTTACGGGAAAGTTATTTTTTTAAAAAAATGAATTTTGAAAAAAGTGAATAATTTTTTTATATTTGATAGTATTATAAAAAATGAACTGGAAAACACTTTCCAGTGTTTGGTTATGTTATGGAAAATAAACTGGAAAATAATTTATTAATATTTTATTTTTCTCAAGTTTATTAAAATAATGAGGAACAAATTTTAAAAATAAAAAAGTTGAATAAGATGGCAATTGAAAAAAAATATAATTTCATAAATTATCTTAAATAAAATAAATAATAATCAAAATAATAAAGATTAAATCTAAAAAAATGAAGAAATTAAAATAATAATAATAAACATCTTATAAAGTATTTCATATAAAATAATTAATAATTAAAAGAATAAGGATCAAATTTGATAGATAAAAAATTTCATTAAAAAAATAGAAGAAAAACAAATATCAATTATAAAGATGAGAATTAAAGTTAATATAAAAATTAAATTTTAAGAAATAAAATTAAAAAATAAATATTCAAAACAAAATATATATAGCAATTAAAAGTTTGAGGATCAAATTTGATATAATCAGCAAATAATGATATTTCTAAATTTTTCACAACTTCTGGAAAGTGTTTTCCACCGAAACTTTTCAGGAAAATATTTTTTTGAAAACTAAGCTAAATTTTCCTTTAATTAGAAAGTGTTTTCTGTTAATCAATTTTTATAACACCAAACAAACATAAGAAAGTTTGAAAAGTGATTTTCAAGAAATTACTATTTGAAAAACAAATACAGTAAAAAAAAAACACTTTCTTGAAAACCAAGTCAAATTTTTTTTGACTAAAAAGTGTTTTTCGTTGACCGAAAAGTTTTTTTTATTGATAGAAAAATATGTTTCATTGACCAACTTTTTAAATAATAAAAAAATACAAAAAAATTTAAAAAATAATTTTTCAAAAATCACTTTTTTTAAAAACAAACAAAAGTAAATTAGCTTAAAGCTTTAACTTGTCAAAGGTTTCAAAAAAATGATTGCTACCAAGTCTGTTCAAGGTACCCAATCCTTCTAGTGTTGGACTAAATTGAATAGAAGTAAAGTAGAAGGACTAAAGACTAAAATCCAAGTAACCTCCCCGAGGGCCGGGTACAAAGCGTAACATTGATATTGACCCCTCCCTGCGGGCCTGTTCATTGGTAAAGTTTTATCAACCCTTTACTCATTTCTACTCGGCAATTAAAGACTCCGGCTGTCAAATGCCGTCGGAAGACTAAATCCGGTGACCTCCCAACGATTCTTTCCCCGGTAAGTTAGAACTCCAATCTCATCCACCCCCTCTCCCCCTCTCCTTCTGATAGGGTTTTTAATCTAACATTGAAAAAGAAAAAAATAATTTTTTCAGTGACTTAGGGTTTTGTTTAGCGTAATTTTGGTGTAGTTTCTGTTGATTTCTTCGTTAGGTTCTTGCGTTTCAGTGATTATGAATGGCATTGCAGTGATTGAAATGAACATGCAGCCTTGATTGTACGTTGTTGATGTCTTCTAACCCTTTCATTGATTTTGCTATTATTCTTTCTTTTGTAGAATTTTTTGCTTGGAAATTCTAAGAATTAATTTTTTTGGGCAATTTTTGTTTCTTTTATGAGAATATTGTACTTGGAAATTCTAATAATTAATATTTTTTTCTTTATGAGAATGTTGTTCATAATTTCCAAGAATATCCAGTCTAAATTTTTGTAAGATTGCTTCAAATATAGTAAATTTTTTTTATGGGGTTGAATGTAAGTGGAAAAGTGGGGGATTGATTTGCCAATGGAGGGATACTTGGGTTTAGTTTGGTCAATTGCTTGTGAAACATCAATGTTAAGCCTGACCTGGTTTATTTAATGGAATCTCATGTTGTTGTTGTTGTTGTTTGTGGTTTACAGCTTGCAGGATGGGAAATGATACCAAGGCTAGTTGTAAGGGTAAGGATGAGGAAATTAATGATATAAAAGGGAGAAACATTGGTAACAGATCATCAAGCAGTTTGGGTGCTGCTAATGATACTTGTGGTCTAAGAAAGTCAGCTAGAGAAACATCATTGAAGAAAAACTTGACTCCAAGCCCTTCAAGTAGTAGAAAGTCTGAACGTATTGAGAAGCAGACCCCCCTACAATTCCTCCTGTTACGAGGAAATCTGAGAGATTGGTTGAGAAACAAAGTTTACCGACTTCTTCTAGAAGCCTGAGAAGGGTAAGAATCAGTTGTCATCTAGTTCTTCTGGTTCAACGAAGTGTGGTAAAAGCTCGGGCTCTTTAATTATGGAGGAAAAGCACAAGAAAGAGAAGAGGGTGAAAGAACTTGAAACTGAAGAAGTTGGAAACAGTGACAAACCTGTTATCAAAACTGTCCTGGTTGGAATTAAGAGAATGGATGCTCGTGCTTACAGGGAGCTGTTCAAACAGAAACAAAAGAAAGCTAAACTGGAAGGTAGCGAAGATCTGATAGTAAATAGGACACCTGGGGTTGATACTGAGGTGAAGAGTGGTTGCAAAGTGATGCCTTCTAAACAAAAAAGGAGTATTGATGACTTGAATTTTGATGCTACGGAAATGGTTTCAAATGAAGATGGCGATGCAGCTCCATATGAGTGCAGCAGAACTGATTCTGTGGATTCATGTTCCAAAAGGCAAAGGTTGAAGAAGCGCAATAAAGTGTCCAACAGTAACACTGATGCGCCTTCTCTGAAAACTGCTTTAATAGGTAACTGGCTAGTTTCACTGTTGATTATTTGTTCTGGTTTTGTTCCTTATCCTGTATGCACAGATGGTACTCTTCTCAGAGTATTAGGTGGCAAACATTGTGGGATTTCCTTGATTTTTTTAATTAATCTTCATAAAATGTCTCTTTTTCTGCAGGAACTTCTGGAGCTCCAGTGCAGAAGATGTCTCAAGTCATGCCAAGTTCAATTAGCCTTCTTAACACAACTGATGCGAATCACGTACCAACTTCTCACATTTGACCAGTAAATTTTCACAAGTACTGAAAGCTGACATGGTTGGGTATAATGGAGGAAGGAACTTGCATGATGATTCTGAGAAGAGTCTCCATCTTTTTTTGAAGCCTGAGATAGCAAAACTTTGTGAAATTTTGCAACTCCCAGTATGCATCTCATCCCTCTGAAGAAGTTAATTTCTCTAGCACTAGTTCATGAATGCTGCAGTAGGTTCTTTGATGTGGTGTATTGGGTCTGCCTATCTACTGCTATTCTTAGTACTTTGAATTGGTTTCAGAATTGATTTTAAGCATAGAAATAAAGAAGAAAAAATCTGGTAAATACCCTAGTTTTTGTGCATCCAAGCTATCAACCTTGCAGTGATCCCTACTGTTGGCATTGGGTTGAAATAACTGTTTTAGATCTTAATGAGATAAAGATACTATGACTTTTGTGGCCTAGAGAGCATTGCATTATTGGGCACTATTGAATTTCAATTTCACTCAATTCCTATTTGAAAGGGATTATCATCACCATCAAATGTCAGGTTTGAATTTTATTAGTATTTGTTAATTTCTTGTTCTCTCAATGGCATCACAAATCCTCTCCCTTGTCATCCGTTGAAATAGGAAAATTTGTTTGATATTTTATGTTTCTTAGCATTCTGACAGTGATGATCTGCTATTTTTTCCATCTCCTCTAGTGTTTCTCTGGGTTGTGAGAGGCAAATCTCATGGGTCAGAGAGTAACAATATAAAAGGAAAAAGGAAAACTTAAAAAATAGAAGAAAACTCTCTCTGGTCTTAGTTTGTTTACATTGCCGGACTCGATTAACCAAATTCTGTCTTCACTCTATTAAAAGTGAGGGAAATGATATGCTTACTGGTTTGATGGGTTCTTTTACTTAATTAACATGTTTAATCTGGACTTATGAATTTGCTGGAAGTTGCGGGGTCATGTATCAGGAAGCATCATTATTTTCATAATCGATCTCAAGATTATGCAGCAGTATTTCTTCTATGATGTCGTTATGTTGACATGTTTCACTATCCCTTCAGGAAAATGTCAAAGTCATGGTGGAACAATTTCTGGAATATGTACTGAATAATCACCATGTCAGTAGAGAACCACCTAGCGTATTGCAGGCGTTTCTGATATCCCTGGTTAGAACCTTCTTTTTTCTATATTTTCCTGCTGTTTGATCATTAATTTACTTTTGACTCAACTCTTACACCCTCTGATTAAAACATATTAAGTCAGTCATTACTGTAAAACGATGCTTTACCATGTTCATGTCATTTTGGATCATGGTTGTTGAATTTGAGGATATTTTGAAATGTTCATTGCATTTGCAATAGCTTTAATATCGTACTGGTTGGTTTTGAATCTGACAGATCTCTAAAAGCATGATATGTTATCTACCTTTTCTAAATTGTTAATTCCTATTTTTGCAATGCGACTGGTTGTTTTAAGAAGTGTAAAATGACTGAGTTTCGAAAACTAACAAGCAGAGTTGAAGCTTTTCTATCCTTTGTTGGGGTCAGTTTACACCTTTGATCTAAAGCAATAGTAAATAGGAATTAAAAAGAGGAGGGATCGCTAGGGATACAAGATTTGCAGCCAAAAATATGACCTGACATATTGAGGAAATCTAAGGGAGGTATTTTTAAAAAATACCTATATCAAACATTCTAGTATGCTTTTTGTTGAATGCATTATTTGCTCTTTGTGAATAAGGTGATTGTTTCAGTGTAATGAAGGATTATGGAGCGTGCTTTTTATGTGGATTGTGGTTGGAATTTATCATATCTGATTATTTTGACGATGAAAAAAATCTTTCATATTCTACTACATCCTCTGTTTAAGAATAGTAGGAAGACCTGGATAAAAAAGAATTGTAAACATGTAATAAGTCGAATAGAAATGTGAAATTCTAATCACACTTGGAAGATATGATTCTTGTTTCTTAGGTCCTATCTATTTATCCAGGAAAGAAAATAATTTAATGGGAAAGTGCCTAAAGCAAACTAAAACAGGTTAGTTTCCCCTCTACTTGTAAGATCTTTATCATAGGATGGAAACTACAGTGTCAATGAATTATTTTCCTTTTGTTTTTCATACTAATTGGATTTAAGAAATTTGGTGTTGACATTCTTGCCTTCAGCAGTCTGTCTCTCTCTCTCCATGTTTCTGTTCATCGTTGGTGTTGACATTCTTGCCTTCAGCAGTCAGTCTCTCTCTCTCTCTCCATGTTTCTGTTCATCCCTTGCCTTTTGGTGCTTCTGCATTTTCTATATCTGTGATAATTACTGAGCATGCCTTCTTTTTTCCTTCCTTGTGAACTGTGCTGGTGAGTGATCACATAAATGTTTGATACCTTTTGCTGACGGCCTGCTTTACATTGTGCTGTTCATATTGCAGTGTTGGACTGCAGCTTCCATGCTAAAGTACAAACTTGATCACAAAGAATCACTTGCACTTGCAAAAGAGCATTTGAATTTCAGCTGCAAGAAAGACGAGGCAGATTTCGTTTACTCAAAGTTGCGATGTCTGAGGAAAGTATTTCTTTATCGCACTGGGACTTGTAAGGTAGCTGGCTCTCCAAATGCTTCAGGTTTTTCATTAGAAGATTTCAGTCAGAATCAGTCAAATGGAAGATCTTCACTGTCAACACCATCTAACATGCAAAAAGTGAGAATGGAGGTTGAACACCTCAGATCTGGTCAGGAGTTCTCCATTGATCAGGTCCTTTCTCATCTGGAATTGGCACAAAAAGATTACTCAAAAAGTATCAAAGACATTGAAAAGAAATGTGATAAACAGATGAGGAAGCTATTGCAGAGGCAACAAGAAGAAAGGGAAGAGTTTGAAAAGAAGTATGAGCAAGACAAGGCAGAGCTCAAACATAAGCAAAGAACAGAGGCAGCTGTTATTCGTTTGCACAGTAATAGTTCAGTGGATAAACTTAAGATGCTGGATAATGTATATGCAAAAGAGTTCGAAAAACTTAAACGGCAGATGGATATGCGTCTTAATAATCTTTTGAAGTTGCAACTGGCTACAAGGCACAAGTTGAAAGAGAGGAGGGCTCAATGGATTGAAGGAGTGAAGTCCTGGGCACATGCTGAATTAATAAATAAACCACCTGCAAATGAGTCTGGATATGATCAAGAAAACACTGTCACCTCGAATTCTTGTTCCAAAGAACAGACTCCCAAACGAGTCCAAAGCATGCCAGATGGAGATGTTCCACTGGAAGTTCCTGAAAATGTGAGTTCAAGTGAGGATGTACTTCCTGGGGTAATGGCTGCTTCCAAACCAATGTCCGATGGAGCTGCATCCAGCATGCTTGACCAAGAGGTTCCCTTGGAAGTGGCTCAGGCTGCAAGTGCGAGGGATGTTTCAGAGGATGTTGTGTCTGTAAATTCATCTCCATGTGAAGAAAAAAATCCTAATTTAAAGATTACATTGAGAATACCTGAGGCTAACAGCTGTAATGATGGTCCAGAGAACAGCATTCATAAATCATCATCTGAAGACGGTTCTGGTGGAGTTGCATTAATGGTGCCTGATAGAGAATTTCCATTGGGAGTGACTGAGATTGTCAGTTCCACTGGTGGCATGGAGAATGCTGCTTCTTTAAGTCCTTCACCTTGTGAAGGACAAACTTCTGCCAGAACCACGTCTTGCATTGATGGAAGAGAAGTTTTATTGGAAGTGCCTGAAACAGCCCCTCCAGAAGCTGAGGAGGCTGTTAACACAACTTTGGATAAAGATGGCGTAGCCAGTATGGAATTGGGTAATGCCATTGAAGTTGATAAGCAGAATGGTGTGGTCTGTATTCTTAATCAAGAGTCTCACCTTGATGTAGCAGCAGTCAACCTGCAAAATGGAGAGTCTATGTTAGAAGTGTCTGAAAACAATAGAGTCAACCAGTCGGATGAAGTGGTTCCATCAGGGGTTTGTGAAACTCCAGTAGTGGGGAGTGGTACCTCTGGTCAAGAGAATAGTGGAGTTTGTGTTACCACCCTGCCTTGTGGTACTGGAGTTGATCAGCAGGCTGGAGTGCTTCCATCAGGAGGTTTTGAAACTGCTACTGTTGCAGAAGTGGGGAGTGGCCCCACTTGGAGAGAGATTGACGGAATGCCTGCTGTGGCCTCAGATAGTAGTCAACCAACTGAACCCTTTAGATTGCAAGATAGAGCTGCACAATTTTGTGATAACTGGATTGCTTTTCAACAAAGTGGTGCCTCAGAATCCCAACCTGTTGTAGTGTCCAATCAATCTCCAAATGATGCACCTGTCAGAGAGCATACGCAGCATTTGTTACCATCCATCAACTCCCGTACTAGTTCACAGCTTACAACTTCATTTGCGCAACATGTGCCTATTGATTTGATAGCTGTTGGTGGATCACAGATGCATATATCAAACATGAGGATAGAACCTGTTACTTCTAGAATGAGCAATCATTCTGCAACTGCACCTGCTGTTCGAATGCCTGTATCCACGTCTCAAGATCCACTGCAAAATGAATTGGATAGAATACGCACAGAAACAGACCAAATTATCAAGATCCACGAAGATACAGTCTGTTTTCTTTTAGTTGTATGATCCACGAAGATACAGTCTGTTTTCTTTTGACCTAGTTGTACTCTGTGCTCAAAACACACATTGGGTTTTGCCTTTCATGTGAAAATTTCTTTTCTATTTTGCAGAAGCTGCGGCTGAAATCTGATTGCGAGAAGGAGATACAGGAAGTTGTCAGTCAAATTCGCAGAACTTATGATTTTAAACTTCAGGATTTAGAATATGAATTCCTTCAGAAGAAGAAAGAGATGGACGACAATCAAAACAAAGTTCTCATGAATAAGATATTGGCGGAGGCATTCAGGACCAAGTGCAAGGATAATAGGGCATCTAAGCAGCAAGGTGGGTAACATGTCCTTATATTAAAAATATTAAAATAATACTAGGCAAACATGAGTCATGAAAAAGTAATTATGAATCCATTTGAGTCTTGGTTGAACCTAAACTTGGTTGAAATGTTGGTGGCATGCAGAGATGACCTCTGGTGTTATGCAGCAGCTGCTTCAGCCATCCCAACCCTCTACACATAGACCTTCTATTGTTACTGGCCCGTATTCAACTGGTCTTCCTGCAGTTAGTCCGCAGACAACTCCCACATCTTCCCCTCCTGCCCCACCTGTACAGGCTGTTCATCGCTCTGCACTCTTCTCAGCCACCCCAACCAGACCACCACATATCAGCTCCATCTCTCCTACCACAAGCAATCTCCAAGTTGGTACTGAGATTCGAGCACCTGCTCCACACCTGCAACATTTTAGATCTTCGGCATCCATATCGGCAAATAGTCTTTCTTCCTTCCCAGGTGGGATCCTTCAACATGTACCTACAACTTCTCCAACACTTTCTGAGTTTCCTTCTCTAGCTCCAGCAACTGTGCAACAATCTGGTCCTCGGATTATGACAAATTTGCTCAAAAGCATGGGACTTTTTCCTTCTAGAACATCCTTCTCCAGACCAGAATCGTTAATGGATGTAGATAATCAAACGAGCACAGAGATTCCTTCCATAGCTCCTGCAACTGTGCAACAATCTGGTCCTCAGATTATGACAAATTTGCTTGAAAGCATGGGAATTTTTCCTTCTAGAACATCCCTCTCCAGACCAGAATCGTTAATGGATGTAGATAATCAAACAAGTACAGGTGCAACTCAGCCTTGCAGTTTTCCCCCGCTAACAGATTTGAATTATAACATAAACTCATTGGCTCAAGAAAGTGAGGTTGTTTGTTTATCAGATGATGATTGATGTGGTCGGTTAGTTTCATCTTCGTAGTTGTAGATCATAATGTGTAGTTTTGTTTTTTGGAGCACTACTTCCACGGGTCCTCATTGTGTTGCTAATCTTTTTGCTGCAGAATTTGTGGCTGTACATAGTTGAATGCTTCTCCTAGGTTATGTGCAAGTTCATATCATTCGCATTCTCATACTGTTTGAGTTTTTTCAGGTTTTTTTTTTTCTTTCTATAATGCTTGTAGGCTTATCATCTGTGCACTACCTTGACTGGTTTTGCTTCTAAGATGCTAATCAAAATGACTTTGCATTGAGTGTAGAATTATTCATTTTTTGATTTCATCAGTATAACTTTTTATCCAAAGTTAGAATTTTTACCGAAGATTTCGAAAACTGTTATGGAAGTCATCTCTACAAGAAATAGTTATGCTTGGTTCTCAGGGAAGTTCATTGCAAGTATTATGATAGATTATTTAGAAATGTTTCCAAGTGTTTTCAATAGTCTGAGTTGAACATTAACATGGTGGTAGCGATTGGTTATTACTTGGAATAGACTTGGAATAGAGACACCGTAGTTAGTTTTATTATTTTTGTGGGATTTATATAAAAAAACATGTTTATTTTTTATTTTTTTAGGTATAGTTTGTGGTTTAGAAGATTGTATTTTAAATAAAAAAGTTAATCACTCTTCAATTATAAACACATATTAAAAGAACTTTGATAATGTGGGAGTTTTTATGGTTGCAATATAAAAAAAATAATTATAGAAAAATAACTTTTAGTTATGGTTATTTCAATTAAAATATATGTGGTTAAAATTATAGTTGAAGTAATTATTTAATAAAAACATGTTCAAAATTTTATTTTGTTAAAACAATGATTAAAATTGATGTAATAATAAAATGATTTTAAAATATATGTATTAACTTGTTATTTTACAATTACATTA